CGTCACGTTGATGAAGGTGCTCTGGTCGGGGCTGCAGGTGTTGTGGCAGTGCAGGCTCACGAAGTTGTCCGCGCAGGCGGGGCAGCGGGTCAGCAGCGCCTTGGTGATGGCCAGGCTGTTCTCCAGCGACAGCAGCTGCTTCCGGGAGCAGCAGGCGAAGGTGGCGTCGGGGCCGGCGTAGAGGCGGGGGCAGACGCGCTGCAGCAGGGCCAGGTGGTCGCCCGTGAGGCGGGGGGCACGCGTGTTGTTCAGGCAGGACACGTTGGCCAGGCCCGCCAGGCTCCCCGACAGCTCGGGGTTCTTTCCGCACTCGTCGTAGAAGGCGCAGTAGCCGGGCTGGTGGATGGGCGTGTATGGCTGGGCCTGGGCCTGGGGAGCAGGGCAGGCTCACCAGAGGTCCCGCACCCTCAGCCAGGGGGGCTGGGGACCTGGGCTTAGGAGGGATGCGAGGCCCGGTGGGGGGGTGGCCATGGCAGCTACACACGGCTGGGAACTGGGGAGCCCTGGGGGTGCAGAGGCCTCCGGCTGGTGTCTGGGGGTGATGGGCTTTCATCAGGTCACTGAGGAGAGGGAGGTGAGCCCTGGCCGTGTGGCTCAGTGGTGAGCGTTGACCCATGAACCAGGAGGCACAGTACATTCCCGGTCGGGGCACAGGCCTAGGTTGTGGGCTCGATCCCCAGTGCGGGGTGTGCAGGAGGCAGCCGATCCATGATTCTCTCTCATTATTAACATTTCTCTCTCTCCCTCTCCCTTCCTCTCTGAAATAAATTAAAATATGTTTAAGAGAGAGAGAGAGAGGGAGGGAGGCAACCCAACAGACGTGCATGTGGCAAGGTCACAGGTCAGGGACGACTCTAGGGGGTCGAGTGGTGCCGGGCGCTGAGCACACGGGCACCATCACCAGTGCCATTGGCCACCACGGTGCCCACGCCGCAGGCCACACCGGAGGCAGCGGCCCCTGGGGCATCAGTGCCCGGCTTCCCTGCCCTCCCCTCCTGGGGCCCGAGCCTGCACCCTCCTCCCAGGCCCGCAGTGAGCGAGAAACAGCAGCAGCAGCTGCCAAGTCCACGGTGGGAGACTCAGAAGCCACCGCCTACCTCGGGCCAGGGCGTCCCCAGCAGCCCAGGGATGGGAGGCCCCTGGTCACACCCAGGCCAGCGGCCCCTCCGCAGCCCTGTGTCCAAACAGCCCCGTGGCCTGGAGACGGGGCAGCCCAGGACCTCCCCCACACCCCTCCTCTGGGCGCCTGGGATTCCGTCTGTCCAGAGGCCGGATCCCCTAGGCCCAGGCCCTCCCTGACTCACCAAGGACCCCCGTGCCCAGGACGAGAGGGGAGGCCCCAGCAGGGTGCCGGTGCCAGACTCACCGCCTGCAGGAGCAGCACCCAGAGCAGCCAGCCCCACGGGCGGGCCTCTGCCATCCCGGCGCCAGGAAGGGGCGAGAGGGAACTGAGGCCACGGACAGTCGGGCTCAGCGAAGGGCTGGGTCCAGGGGGCACCAGCAGGGCAGTCTCCTGCCAGGGACAGCCTGGCCTGATGGTGGGGGACCAATAGGGCCGCCCGGCACCCGCCAGGGCTCCCGGGTTAATGATCCACCGCCCGCCCCGCCCAGCTTGGCCCACTCTCTCGGGGGAGCGAGGGGACGGAGGTACAGGGTCTCCTGTCACCCCCTTCCCAACGCCCCAGGCCGAGGGCTGAGGCAGCTGGGGACCGCACAGCCCCACACTCGCTCCCCCACCCCCACGCGGCCTGGACCCCCATGGCCCCAGCCCCCCCTTGGGACCAGGCGGGCCCTGGCTGGACACACCCTTGCACTGTCATCCTTAGCAACTGTTGTTAATTAATATTAACAGCCCAATAACAGGGGACACTCGGGTGGCGTGATGCAGTGACATCGGTCTCCTCCTCTGGGCGGAAGGAGGGGTTTGCTGAGGGCCGACCGTGCCCCAGAAGTGGGAGCCACAGCCTCTCTGCCCCCACCCCCGGAGGCCAGGGTGTCGCTGGGAACCCCACCCGACAGGCTCCTCGCCCTCCGATAGGAATCTGCCTGCCGCCAGGATAGGCCGACCTTGGCCCCAGTGCCCGGGCGGAGCTTATCAGGCTGCCCGGGGAAGGTCCCTGTGGCCGCCTGCTGGAGGGAGCTGCAGGGACCTCCTGCCTCCCTCTGTTTTCTGGACCCTGGCCTGACCCGGACGGAGGGTCACCAAGTGCAAGCACCTGTCCGGGAAGACAGGCAGGGGTGGGGGCCAGGGGAGGGGGCGAGGCAGCCCTGAGTCTGCAGAGGAGCTTCAACAGCTGGGCCGGTGCAGGGACGTCCATCGGCACCTCCGGGCGGCACCGTCCCTGCTGTCTCCCCTCCTCCGGTGTCTCCCAGCAGCACCAGAGACAGGGATTCCAGGGGCAGCAGGAAGCCAACCAGGGTGCATTAAAGAGTGGGCTCAGCAGGGACCTCGGGGGATGTGGGGGCCTGCCCAGGGCCCCCCGCAGGGAGGAGGATCGGGCGCTGGTGGAGGACATGGGCAGCTTCAGGCTCCTGTGGCCCTTGTGGAGCCTTAGGGGCCCAGCCCACCCCATCGATCCAAGGGTGGCCCCGGGGAACCCCTAGGAATGGAGCCCGGCATGGACTTTCAGGGTCCCCTCTGGGACACCCACAGTCTGCCACTTGGCTCCCTTTGCACTGGCCTGCCGGGCTGTGGAGCAGATTCACACCGACAGCGGCGTCTGCACCCCTCGTGCCCCCGTCCCGATTCTTACTCAGCCTCCCTCCGCCCTTATCACCTGCTGATTGCTGGGCTGAGCCCCACAGGCCATCACTCGTCTCGCTGGTTTCCCTATCTCGTTAGATGAGTAAGTTTCTGGTTGACGTCTTTGGTCTTTGGATCTCACTGTATTTCCTCATTTTGCATCTATTTCCTTAAATGAGGAATCGATCCTGGGGATAAGTGTGTCAGAGTGGCACCTTTATGGCCCCATGTGCGTGCTCAGCTCCCCCGTGGGCAGTGGAGGATGCACGGATTGCTTACCGGATCCTCGCACTGACGCCTCGGGGGTTCGGATTCGCTCCCCTGCCACCGCCAGTGCCGAGCTGCCTGGTCCCCAGCTTCCCCTGCACTGTGCTAGGTCTGCTGCCGGACTTGACAAGTTTAATAACTGGAAATGGGTGCCTCCTCGAGAGGCCCAGGAGCGACCTGGCCCTGAACCCAGTCCCCAAGTGCAGGAGGCAGGGGCGAGGGGCCAGCCGCCAGCACAGGAGCCTCTGGGGGTCAGGGGAGCCCGTGTGGACGGGCAGCCAGCGCGGGAGTCGAGGGCTGGCTGTGCATCTCCGGGCCATCAGACTGCAGCCAGTCCGAGGTCAGGGTGGGGTGCTGCCTGGCCAGGCACTGGCCCAGGCCTTGGCGCTGGCTAGCTCCCGGCTCACCGGCCGAGCAGCCTGCAAGCTGAGACGTGGGCTCTCCTTCCCCGGCTGTCGGAACCCAGATTCTGAGTCCAGGCAGCAAGCAGTGCCGCGGGCCACTCGCTGGGAGTGGAGACGGGCAGGTGCTACTGCGCCCCCTGTACACCCAGGAAAGGGCACCGCAGCCCGGCTGGGCTCGGGGAGGCTCCTGGGTGCCAGATTTAGCCAGTAAGAAGCAGGACGCCAGCTAGTGTGTTGTTTTAGGAGAGAGGAAGGGAGAGGGAGAGAGAGAAACGTGGATGGGAGAGGGGCATCGACTGGCTGCCTCCTGCACAGCCCCCAGGGGATGAGCCCGCCACCCAGGCATGTGCCCTGACCAGGGATCAAGCTGAGCCGGCAACCTTTGGTTCCTGGACCAACACTCAACGGCCGCGCCACACCGGCCAGGAATACCAGCCAGTTTTGTTTCAGATGAACCACCTAAATGTTTAGTGCAACACAAATACTGATTGGGATTTACTTATGCTAAAGTGACGCCCCTTCTCACAGCACCTCAGGGACGAACCTGAGGCTGAAGGGACAGGGCAGGACTGAACCCAGCTCTCGCGTCGGTCCCAGGTCAGGGCCACAGACCTGTGCACCCCACTGAGCTGGCGGTGGGGCCGGCAGCTCCCTCCGTCAAATGGGAGGGCGTGTGCTCGTCAAGGTGGCCTGGGGTCTGCGGCATCAGCCATCCTGCAAGGAGGCCGCTAGGAGTGCAGACGCTCAGGCCCGGCCCCCGCGCTGCGGGCGACACCTCAGAGAAGCCACTGATCGGAAGGTGCACTGGCTTGAGGGGCCCCTGTGCGGAGCTGGTGTGGGGGTGCGTTCCCCACTTACAGAGGAGACCCTGGAGGCAGCGCATCACGGGCCCCACAAAGGCTGCTCCCGAGGACTGACCACCCCGACGTGCAGCTCTCCAGCTCGGCCGGCCACCACGCCCACTGCTTCCAGGGGGCGAGCTCTGTGATGCCCTCGGCCGCGTCTGCCCAGCAGGCCCCTTGCACGTGGGAAGGCTGGGCTGGCACCTGGCCCCCCCCCGCCCCCCGCCCACAGTGGATGGCGCTTTCTTTCCCATGTAAATGGCATGACCAGCACAGCGCAGCCCCCAGGAGGCAGGACGCCAAGAGCTCTTCCAGACAAAGGGGGTGGCATTTGGCAGAGGCCCCTCCTGCCCGGTTTTGAGCTTGTCATTTCCTCCTGGGACAGTGCCCTGGAGACCAAAGTCCCAGGGCCAACAGATTCCCCAAAAGCTGAGTCATTGGTTCTGAGTCACGAATGCTCTGCGACGGGACTAGCGGGAGGGGGGACACCTCTGACCTGCTCATGGGTGGGTTTCCGGGAACTTACCCGCCTGTCATCACCGCTCCCCTTAGAGACCGCCTGCGCCTTTGAATTGTGAACAGGAACTGTTTTCAAAAGTAAATGAAATCGCCCCCCATTTCCACACAGGATGCTGTTCCCACCCCCTTCCAGGCCCACCTGCGCGGGCAGCCAGCACCCGGACTCCTCAGCTGGGTGAGCCCTGTGTAACCTCCTGGTGCCCTGGACACCCTGAAGGCTGGCTATGGAGCACAGCCCACACTGCCTCTGGCCCCCAGCCCCTGGCCTACCCAACAGGTGTTGCAGGGCAGATGGATGCTTCGTGAACTGTGGGAGGCGGGGCACACTGAAGGCCTGATTCTTTTTCATGTTTTTATTGATATTAGAGGACGGGAGAGATGAAAGAAACATCGATGAAAGAACTGATCAGCTGCCTCCTGCACGCCCCCTACTGGATTGAGCCTGGAACCGGGGCATGCGTGCTGACCAGGCATCAGCTGAGACGTCCTGGTGCACGCTCAATGCTCTACCGCTGAGCCAGGCTGGCCAGGTGAAGGCCTGGTTCTCGACACCCCTCACTCCCCACAAAGCTCCGCACATGCAGGGGCTGTGCCTGCCCCCCTCCTCGTCTCTGGCACCGGGTGCCCATCCAGGCGCGGCGACTGTACCAGCCACGGGGGATATGCTCATGGGACTCCGACCTCCCAACAGCCCCAGGGCGCCAGGGTTGCCTGGAAACGCTGAGCTTCTCCGAGCTGCTCAGGGGCTGGCCCTGCCCCTGCCTTCCCGGCCCAGGGACCCCTCACGTGCTCATTAAGGGCAGACACTTCAGCACCAGACTGACTAGTCCAACCCCTGAGGGCCTGTGTCCCGTGTGAGGCCTGAAGATGTCCGGGCCCTGGACACCCTTCCTCTGCAAACTCAGGGCGCAGGGACACTCTCACAGCCTTGGCCATTCACACCCACCAGCGGCAGGGCCCGCTCCAGCTCCCCC